TTCACAACTTGGATGACTTCTCTTTTTTTAATTAATTTCAAATTTCAGTGAACATTTACAGAGATTTTGGATTTCCATTCATTCATTGTTGCACTTTTCTCCCCCACCCCCACCCCATACCCCAGTTTGCTCTTCTCTTTGAAAAGTAAAAAAAAAAAAATTCCTTCATTGGTATACAATCCCCCCACACCCTACTCTACCCCTACCCTGAGTATACTCCACTCTGCAACCTTCATTCCTAACTCTTATGATAATCATGTTGTTGTTGTTGTTGTTATGTGCCATCAAGTCACTTGCAACTCATAGCTGCCCTATCTACAAGAACCCTAAACGCTGTTCTATCCTGTGCCAACCTCACTATCTCAAACACACTCATTCCCACCACTCCACTCACAGAATTGATCCATCTCATTGAGGGTCTTCCTTTCCTGCACCGTCCCTCCGCTCTCCCAAACATGATGTCCCTCTCCAAGGACCAGTCCCTCCTTGCAACATGCCCAAAATATGTCAGACGAAGCTTCAGAATCCTTGACTCCAAGGAGCATTCTGGCTTCACCTTCTCCAGGACAAGCCTGTTTGTTCTCCTAGCAGTCCATGGTATATTCGACACTCTTCTCCAGCACCACAGCTCAAAGGCATCAATTGTCTTTCTATCATTCCTATTCACTGTCCAACTCTCTGATGCATAGCAAGTAATTACAAAGGCTATAGCCTGGATCAGGCACACCTTAGTCTCCAGCCTGACATTGTTGCACTTCAGTACTCTTGAGAGGTCCCTCACAGCCGACTTTAACAATGCAATTCATCTCCTGATTTCCTGGCTGCTGTTACCAAGAGTGCTGACTGTGGAACCAAGTAAACTAAAACTGTTAACTGTCTCTTCACCATCCATACTGATGCTGCCAATTGGCCCAGTGGTGAGAATCTTTGTTTTCTTGATATTGAGCTTTAATCCATATTGAAGACTGCAGTCCTTGACCTTCTGCAGCAAGCGCTTCAGGTCCTCCTCAGTTTCAGCAAGCAGGGTTATGTCATCTGCATAACGCAGGTTGTTGATGACTCTTCCACCAATCCTGATGCCACATTCCTCCTCGTACAGCCCAGCATCTCAGATTGAAAAGGTATGGAGACAAAATACATCCTTGATGGACCCTTTCTTGATTTTGAACCATCCAGTGTCTCCCTGCTCTGTTCTGACAACTGCCTCTTGGTCCAAATATGCCCTAAAATATATTGTTTTTAAACTGTTCTCTCCCTCATAGGTTTCAATGCAGTATACATAATTCATCCAGTTTTTCCTCATTCTTACCCTAACCCTGATGTCAGTGCCATTCTACAGCAGTGACACTATGCAGTGTTTGTCCTTTTGTGACTGAGATGTTTCACTCAGCATAATGTCCTCCAGGATCACCCATTTTGAATAATATTGTGCGAGTTCCTTGTTTTTCAATGCAGCGTAGTATTCCATTGTGTGACTATACCACAGCTTCTCTATCTATTCATTTGTTGATGGGCACTTAGGTTGTTTCCAACTCCTTGCTATTGTGAACAAAGCTGCGATAAACATGGGTGTGCATATATCTGCTTGGATGGTGGTTATGGTCTCTTTAGGGTATATTCCCAGTAGTGGAATTGCTGGGTCAAATGGTATCTCTATTTGCAACTTTTTTGAGAAAGTGCCACATCGCTTTCCCCATGGTTGCACCATTTTACACTTCCACCAACAGTAAATAAGGGTTCCAGTTTCTCCACAACCTCGCCAGCATTTTTTGCTTGCTGTTCTGCTAAATTCTGCTAGTCTTACTGGGGTGAGATGATATCTCATAGTTGTCTTGAATCGCATCTCTCTCAGAGCTAGGGATTTTGAACATTTCTTCATGTGCTTGTTGGCCATCTGTATGTCTGTAATTGCCGTCAAGTCACTGTCAACTCATAGCTACTCTATGAACAAAAGACCTAATGCTTTTCCATAGCTATCGTTGTTTCTCCAAGTTCATAGAGTTTTCAGAGGCATGTGGTTTAGGAAGTGGATGCCACTCCTGCTTCCCAACTTGTTTTACAAGTGAGAGGTCCACCAAGCACTGTCCACAATGGGAAACCATTCTGGTGTTTGATATCCCCATGGCACAAGGTTCAGCATCATAGCAAACCCAGTTTACGTCATACAGAACATTGACAAAGAGTGATGTACAAAGTGGAAGAATGTTCCTCTAGATATAACAGCGCTGGTTTCATTTAGCAGTGGTTAAGTGTTGTCAAGTTGAATGTGACTCAGAGTACTCTTTGCACAAAAGACCTGAACTCTGTTCTATGATTAACATCATTTCTGTACATTTATAAGAGAGTTTGTAGAGTTTCCAGAGGCACCTAATTTAGGAAGTGGGTGCCACTCCTACTTCCCAACATGAATCAATCTGCAAGCTCATCCAACCATTGTACATAATGGATAACCATTATATTTGACACGACTATGGAATAGTGTTCAGCATCACAGCAATTCCAAGTTGTTCGGTACAGCAAATAGACAAATGATTGCTGTGTCCTTTCAAGAATATTCTTCTAAAATTAATAAATGTGGCCTGAGGGCCATACAGGATTTAAAAAGCCACAGCCTTGAGCAGGGCTCCACCCTTACCCTTAGTCTAAGGCTCAAGGGTCACCCACTTTTGAGGAGGGAAAAATAACAGTAACACACCCCAAAAAAGACCTCAAAAACTTGCCTTGCCTGACTGCCATCAAGACAAAACCACCATCAACATGACTGCCAGACAGCCAGCCCACTTCCAGAATAGAGGGAGACTCCCCAAGTCCCAGGGCAGCCCCCTATAAAACCCAAGACCCTGAAATGATACTCGACGGCTGAAGTATAATGAATTTTTCTTCAGCTAAATTTTAAGGGAGTCTATGTTACAAATAAGTTCTTTTCAGATAAAATCTTACGCTGTTGTCCATAAACATAAATGTTATCCTCGAACTACTACAGTTCTATTTAAACTTCTTTAAATCTTCTCTCTCTTTCAAGGCTTCAGAGCTGGACAGATGCAAGCCTTTAGCACTCCTGATTGGCCTGTGAGCTGATAGTATAGTTTTACCTGAACAATGAGTATGATTTTGAGTTCTTTTGTGATGAGAATCAATTTCTTCACAGACAGCTTCTGCAATGCCAGCAGGAGCTAAGGTCAAACTCCATTATCTCATAGTAATCAAGTGGCTGAAGATCATTCTTTGTCATCGATGGATGATTGCAAGGCCACATTGGTGGCATCTGGTTTGACCATGTCTCTGGGATGCTCTGTAGACTAACCCCTTGTAGCAACACTGAGTATGAATTTTCTGCAAAGTTGTCATATTTGTGGTTTGAGATGTGGTTTTGTCTGGTCCTCTGGGGAGACAGGAGTGTTTCTATATTTTCTGAGGCCAACAAGTCTGCTTGGGAATGATGGCTGGGGCTCACAGTATTGTTTATGGCAAGAATTGGAGATCTAAAATTTAAGTCTGAAAGCTGAGCATTCATGGTGTTGAGTTTTCCCTGTGCTGCCCTCAGAGTCGAAGGGCGGGGGCTTTGGTCCAGGAGATCAAAGGATGATGCAGAAGGCTCACTGCTGGTATTAGTAGCTCTCTTCTGGTTTTTATTTTGCTTTCAAAGCCTTTGTTAGTTTCAAATAAATTTTGCATATCCAAGGAGGGTCTTATTTACATCCTCATTCACTTGAATTAATTCAACAGTTACATCTCATTCTTCAACTCCACCTGGAGATCCATGAACCTCACCTGCGTTCACGGCTTGTCTTACAAAGTTTCTGCAGCAGCTCTGTATCTTCAGTTTTCAGGTCTAGGGGTGGCTCCATTAATATGGCAAACAGCACTCTCACGCTCATCTTCACCATATCCAACTCACTGTGTCATTTTCCAATCTGTTCTTGGACCAATATAATGGTTGAGCCCTTGGGAGCAACTACAGAACAAAGAAGCTGGTGCAGGAGGAGCAGATGTTGGATGAGATCTGATCAGTCTCTTGTCTTGTTTCAGCCTCTGCATTTGAGGAAGGAAACTGCACACCTTTCCTAAGCAGATCAAGACGTACCTCTTTTATTTCACTTACATCCACACTTCCTAGGAAACCCTGTGACCAAATCTTAATGAAGTTCAAGATTTTATTCTGAATATCTAACGCCAAGGTGTATCTGGGGTTTGGCAGCTTAATTAAATTATCTTTCACAAATTCCTTCTTCACAATCAGAAATTGGAAGTTTGGGCCACAATTCTGCATGCACATGTCAATGAGTGACAAATTGCATTGCTTTATGGTTGTAGTTTTTGAAAATCCTTTTCTTCAAAGCTTTTACTGCATTTTTATGCCCATCCTGCATAGTGTTGATTATATATCACATGTGTATAAACTGGCCCCCATCTTCAGTGTGAACCCCAACAAATGTAGCCTTTTCTACAAGGTTTCCCACAGAGGTCCTGTAGGGATGCTGGGCATTCTTCCAAAACACCATGGTAACCTCAGAGAGCCGGGCCCAGGAAATCCACCTCCACCACTCGGTGGCTCCTGAATCCCTCTAATGAATATATTGATTACACTTTCTCCAAGACATAATTGCTTGCTCATTAGGCAGTCCAAGTACTGTTCTCCAACACCAAAATTCAAAGGCTTAGATTCTTCTTCTGCCATCCTTATTCATTATCCAACTTTCAGTTGCATGGCAAGTAATTGAGATGATCATGGTTTGTATCAGGCATACCTTAGTCTTTAAACTGATATCTTTGCTCTTCAACACCTTGGAAAGGTCCATGACAATATATTTTCCCAGTGTGAGTCTGATTTCATTTCTTGACTCTTAGTATGAGGGGTACTGACTGTGGATCCAAGTAAGATTAAATCACTGACACATTCTATCTTTTCTCCATTTATCATGATGTTGCCTATTGGTCCAGTGGTAAGGATCTTTGTTTTCTTGATACTGAGATATAACCCTTATTGAAGGCTCTAGTCTTTTCATTTCTGCAGCAAGTTTTCAAGTGCTTAAAAAAATTACAACCTAGAAAATCCTGGAACAGTTCTCTTCTATCATGGACAGTCACTGAATTCATTAACAACACTTGAACAGCATTAGGGCACACGATACCAGTAACCTGCTTTACAATATGCTGCTTTATAATTGAAAATCTAAAATATATGCATATTTTAAATATCGTTTATGTGCTCCTTGGAGGCAAGGATTCTGAAGCTTTTTCTGACATACTTTGGGCATGTTGTAAGGACGGCCCAGACCTTGGAGAGGTCGTCATGCTTGGGAGGGTGAAGGGACAGTGCAAGAGAGAAGACCCTCGATGAGATGGATCGATTCAGTGACTGGGGTAAAGAGTGTAGGTGTGTCAACAGAGACAATAAAGTTGGCTTAGGAGAGAGTTCAGAGCTATTGTACATAGTGTTGGTATTTGTAGCAAGTGACTTCACAGCACATAACAACAAGAACGAGTTTTAGTAAATACCTACCTTCAAGATCAAAATAAAAAACATTACATTACCTAGAAAGGGGTTTTTGGTATATTCACAGAGTTGTGCCACCATCACCATTCTCTAACTCCAGGACATTTTTATCTCCTAAAAAATAGCCCCCAAAGGCATTAATTTTAATGTATGGTGTGCACACAATTTCAGACAATTGTAAAAAAAAAAGTTTTCTTTTTTTCCGCCAATAACTACAAAATAAAAAGGGTGTAGATAAACGACTTATGTCTGAGAACATACACCAAAAATTCTTGAATACTACATAAATTCTGGAGGTAAACTGCCCGTGTTCCTAATGTAGTCATTGCTGGTCATTCACCTTCGGACACAGGCCGGAAGCTTATTATCTGATGTTTAGTGTTTTAAAAATGGAAAAGAGTTACAGATGTCCAGTTTTTAATAGAAAATACTTTTTCCTTCTTTTAAAAAAATTAATGACATTTATAGAAAAAAAAAATCTAAGTTTTGCAGTATCTAGGACTAGGTAACAAACTGCGGCATCTTTGGTGCCAATCATGGTGCTTCTGAACTCTGAAGCTATTTATTTCAAGAACTGTTTTGAGAGCTTGGCTTTAATGGCTAACAAGCAAAGTGCTTGAATTGTTATTTTTAAACTTTTACAAAGTGCCAAATATCACTATTGTCCTTTTTTTAAAAAAAAATTTATTGTCATGATCATTTAGAGAGATTTTGGATTTCCATTCATTGTTGCATTTGTCACTGTTTTCCTTCTATCCATCTAGTTTTCTTTCCCATTTTTGCTTTTGGATAGCCATTGTCTAATTTGCTTCATACAGTTTTTTGCATAAGGGAGCACACAACTCACAAGTGACAGAGTTTATTTTATAAGTGGATATAGAAATGACCAAAAAATGGCTTCAATTCTATGTTCAAAGCATCTTAGGGCATTAGTCTGGGATCTCGTTGGTCCGTTGAGTCTGACATTTTTAGGAATTTAAGTGTTCTACATTTTTCTTTCATTTTATTCAGGACTGGGTTTTTTGTGTGTTTTGTTTGTTTTGTGTGTGTGTCCCTAGTTAATGCGGTCGGTAGTAGTAACAGATCACCATCTTAGCTCTGATCTCAGGTTAGAAAAAGTTCACGTGGACTGTTTAATAGCCTATTTTTTTTTCTCTGAGCCTTTTATTTCCTTCATTATCTTGCTTCATTTAAGAGGTCTATAGTTGTGTCTCAGATGGCCTCTTGCAAACTTTGAAGACTTTGGATGCTATTCATCAACTTAAGATGTTGTTAGGTGCCATCATGTATGACTCATAGTCATATGACTATATGAGAGATGAACACTCCTCCTTCTGGAGACTTCTTCATGATCTGAATCCTGTCCCATCTTGTGCATCCTCCTAATTTCTGACACTTGAGCCCACTCCTTAGGTCATCCTGTCAATTACCCTTGCTGAGTCTCTTTTGCTGACACTTTCCAAAGAAATGGCTCCTTCTAGCAACAAGCCCAAAGTATATGAGTCAATTTCACCACCTTTGCCTCCAAAGAGCACTCTGGTTACACTTTTTCCAAGGCCTGTTTGCTTCTTTGGCAGCTGATGAGATAATTAGCATTCTTTTCCAAAACCAAAAAACAGTTTATCTTCTTGAATTATTTTCTCAGCATACAGACTGAATAGATAATTAAGTCTGAATTGTTATGTCCATTGACTTAAATTGTCTACAGTGATTAGTCTCAAACATTTTGACCCAGAAAACCAACTCCACAAGAGGTTGTTTCAATATATGAAGGAAACCGTAATTGTGCCCTTTATGTGATGTTAATTATGTGGATTCCCAAGAAATTTATCATTAATATCACATGCAAACAGAATTATGCTGATTAAAAAAAAAGGCTTAATGGAGTACATCAAGAGAAAACTGCCAGAAATACAAGCTGGGTTTAAAAAAGGATGTGTACTAGGGCTAACATTGTGGATTTCAGATGGATCTTGGTTGAAAGCTGATAATACCAAAGTCTATTTGTGGGGTTTTTTTGTTGTTTTTTTTACTACTCAGGCATTTGACTATGGATCACAACAAATTATACATATAGCTGAGATTTCAGACCACTTAATTATGTTCATGTGAAACCTGAAACCTATACCCAGACGAGCAGCTATTGTCTGAACAGAGTAAGGGAACACTTTATGACTTAAAATCAAGAAAAGAGTGCAACAGGGATGTTCTTTTCTCCATACCTTTTCTTTTTTTTTTTTCTCCATACCTTTTCAATCTATATGTTGAACAAATCATTTTTAGAAGTCGGACTCTTTGAAGAATGTGGCAGCACATTAAGAGGAAGACTTATAAACTGAGTTATAGAAATGTCACAACTTTGCTCACCAAAAAGTGAAGGCTTGAAGTGCTTGCTGTGGGAGATGAATCAGGGTGCTATTTGGAAGTAAGGATGTTGAAACTCTCTCTCACATACTTTGGATATGTTGTAAGGAAAGAGCAGTACCTGGGAGATATCATACTTGGAAAGCTACAGGATCAGTGCACAGTAAGATTTTTTACAAGGAATGAAACAATGACTGTGGTGATGTGATCAGGTGTGAAGAGTTGGCGAGGTTTGTTCTGGATAGGACAAGGTTTAGAGATGTTGTTCACAGGGTCCGCTATGAGTCATAGTCAATCTGAAGGCACTTAGCATATATGCAGCACATAGAATTTTGTGTATTGACGCCTACAAGTACACTTAAACATATATACGGACTGACTCCTTTATACCTTGCCTGCCTATACATATCCAGATTTACTACATAACCTCTTTTGGTAGTTTTTATTATTTTTGTAACATTGTATATTTTCAGTTTTTTTGAGGAAAAATCATAGTTTTTGTATCATTTTGTAATCTTACTAGCACTGTGTAAAAGTTTGGATTACTATGCTTGACTTTTCCCGTAAAGCTTAACAGTCTGGTAGAAAGATTCTTGCATATGTCACTCAGACTATCTGGAACTGGGGAAAGCATACAGCTGCAGGAGATAAATCCAATTGCAGTGTAAAAATCCAAATTCCAGCTTTTCAGTGGACTAAAAGATTCAAGTAAAGTTATCATTATTTGAGAATGCTAACACAAATACTAACAAAGTTGAGGCAGGTTGGAGAAAATAACAGGGAAGTAACTGATATAGCACAAGTATGTTCTCAGCAATAAGGGCTGAGAAATAAAAACTGAGAGGACATATTCAGAAAAATGAAAAGAATCAAGAATAGATGACCCAAGAAATGTTCTTTTTATAGTGATGACAAACAAGGAACGAAGGGAAAGAGTTAAGTGAAAATACAAGGTGGAAATAGTTAAGGATGAAGAAAAATATACTCATCATAATAGTACAGAAACTCCACAGACAAAAAATGGTATCTTGGTAGAAAAAAGAATGTTCACAAGGCCCTGGAAGAGGAAGTTTTTGTAAAAGTGACCAATCTCCACAAGAGTCCACAATTAAGGTTGCATGGTGGAATGCACTTGGGGTGGTGGGAGGGGTGTGGGGGGATTGTGTACCAGGGAGGGAGTTTTTCTATTACTTTTCAGAGAGGAGCGAACTTGGGGGTGCGGGGGGCTGGGCAGGAAGAGAAGTGCAGCAATGAATGAAGGGAAATCCAAAATCTCTGTAATTGTTCATTAAAATTATTAAAATAAAAAAGGATAAAATTTAAAAAAGTAGCAACCACAATAAATTTTTTTAAAAAGTGACCAATCTCTCATCCAGCCATATCAAAGCTTTTTCACTTTCTTAAAAGCAAGAGTTTTAAAAACTAGACTCCCTCAAAGCTTCAAACTTACTCAATATTAACTTGTAAAGAAACGAAAGGATACAAAATGAAATTGAATTTCCCACATCTCTTCACCTACACCTGTTTGCACCATGCTTTGATATGAATTGAAGAAATACACCAAATAAAATGGAAATTATGTCACAACAGAATTTTATAGCAGATATATTTAATCATATTATGACAATGATTATAGTTATCTGCCTCAGTAACTTCATCTAATAAAAAGGTATTAAGATGGCTTAAAGTTGATTAAATTTTAGTTTTCACAAGTTTATTTTATCAAGAGATAACAGAAGATTATTCAAAATAGGTAAAAACATAATAGTAGTGCTTCATGTTTTT